GGACCTGGAGGTGACTCCATGAATCCCAAGGACCTGGAGGTGACTCCATGAATCCCCAGGCACATCCCTGAGCTCGGCTGGGAAGGCTGGTCTTGCTCCCAAGACTAAACCACAACATTTAAAGCTCAAGTTTTAACCCGGCCTGGAGCCAGTGTGGAAAACAAGCTTTAACATCCATGGATTTCCTATGGAAAACAGGGAATCACAAGCCTTTTCTTTTCCATCTGTTTAGGGGAGGGGTTTTCCGGGCAGGGGAACACGGACACCCCAGGAAGGCTCTTCCCGGGAAACCACCAGCACATTTATGAGTAGAAGCCTTGGATTTCATTCCTTTTTTTTTTTTCCCTGCCTGTAAACCCACTTTTCCACAACCCTTGGGAAAAGCAGTTCATCTACTCCGGGTGTTTTCCAGCCCCACGGCGCCGCCGGAACGTCGCTCGCGCCTTCGGACGCCGGGAAGCCACGATAAATAAACCCCTTCCTTACCTTTTCACCCATGGGACAATATCCCTTGAGGAAATCCTGGCACACCTCTGCCTTCCTGGACACGTAGACGTGGCTGTAGGGGCAGTTGCTGTTGCTGCAGATCCCCTTCAAGTAGTAGGAACACACTGGCATCTGGAAGAGAAACCCGGATCTGGAATTATTCTGACCCCTCTCCAGAGCGGAAATAAAGAGAAACCTTTTGCCAGCCACTGATTCCAGAGGGATTTTTTAGCTCTTCCATTGGCATCCTGCAAGGAATATCCCTGATGTTCCATGGTCTCCTGGTGTGTGAACGGGCCTGGCTCGGCATCCCTTGGGATGCTGGAGGGGTTGGAAAGCAGGGAGTGGCCACCAGGAGGGAAACCTGGAGAATGTCATTCCCAAGGGGTGATGCAGCCATGGAGATGGGAATAGCAGCAACAGGGATCAACATCCCCTGAGGGGTTCTGGCCACCACAAAGGCCAAAACCCCATCCTGGGGGTGCTCCCCTGTTTGGCTTTTCCATGGATAAAGGCTCCACATGGTGGGTCCTAGAATTTCCACAAGGATTTTGGGGATCGTTTGCATCATTCCAAGGAACCTCCACCAAGGGCTGCGAGCGATGGGATGTCCCTGTGGGATTGCTCCAGGAGGGATGTCCCAGGAGAGATATCCCAGGAGGGAGGGAGGGAAAAGACAAGGAGAGTCCAGGCTCCTTTCAAATCCAGAGATTTGAAAAGGGGAGCGTTGGATCCAGGAGCACAGCCCCGCTCCCACACCCCCCATTCCTGAGGCACCACAGGGAAAACCGACGGAGCAGGACCCAAACTTCACCTCGTGCCAGCTGTTGGAATTAACCCCGAATTCCCAGCCTGTTGTGATATTCCAGCATCCTTAACTCAGCCCCTACCACAGGCAGAATGTGCTGAGCTGGTCCAGCTCCTCCTGCTCTGCCCACATCCCAAATTTCCTCCCTGCAGAGCATGGGACCAATCCCTCCATTCACCGGCAGCATCCCAGTCCTGCCAGTTCCTTTCCCTCTCCTCCAGGTTCCTTTCCCTCTCTGGACTCCTTCCCTTCTCCAGGTTCCTTTCCCTCCAGGCTCCTTTCCCTCTCCTCCAGGTTCCTTTCCCTCTCCTCCAGGCTCCTTTCCCTCCAGGATCCTTTCCCTCTTCTCCAGGCTCCTTTCCCTCTCCTCCAGGCTCCTTCCCTTCTCCTCCTGGTTCCTTTCCCTCTCCTGCTCCTTTCCCTCTTCTCCAGGCTCCTTTCCCTCTCCTCCAGGTTCCTTTCCCTCTCCTGCTCCTTTCCTTCTCCTCCAGGCTCCTTCCCTTCTCCTCCTGGTTCCTTTCCCTCTCCTGCTCCTTTCCCTCTCCTCCAGGTTCCTTTCCTTTTCCTCCAGGCTCCTTTCCTTCTCCTCCAGTCTCCTTTCCCACTCCTCCATGGTCCTTCCCCACTCCTCCAGATTCTTTTCTCGCTCCTCCAGGCTCCTTTCCCTCCAGCCTCCCTTCTCTCTCCTCCAGTTTCCTTTTCCTCTAGTCCAGGCTCCTTTTCCTCTCCTCCCAGCTCCTTTCCCCCTTCTCCAGCTTCCCTCTCCTCCAGGCTCCTTCTCTTCTCCTCCAGCCTCCTTTCCCTCCAGGCTCCTTTCCTTCTCCTCCAGGCTCCTTTCCCTCTCCGGACTCCTTCCCTTCTCCTCCAGGCTCCTTCTCTTCTCCTCCAGCCTCCTTTCCCTCTCCAGGTTCCTTTCCCTCTCCAGGCTCCTCTCCCTCTCCTCCAGCACTGCAACATTCCCAACCCTACAACAACCCCGGGCGGGGACTATCCGGGAAAAAAAAAAACAACAAACCCTTATCCCCGAAGGGCACGGGGAGGGTTTGTCGGGAACCGCGAAGAGGCAAGAAAACAAAAGGGACGCTCGAAAAAAAAAAAAAAAGGGAAGAGTTTATCTTTAATTGCCTTTGAAGCGCCGACATTCCCGAAAGGACGGGGCTCGGGAAGCCGCCAACGACTCCCTTAATGCGCCTTTTGATGGAGAGCCCGAATTAGCGCTAATAAAAAGGGATAATAAAGGCGGCTCTGCCCCAGAGGCGCGGCCCCTCCCGCCCGCTGAGCCCGGGCCATTATCGAGGGGCAGCAGCTCCGCGGGTTTAATTAACCTTGTTAATTGTAAGCGGTCCGGCCGCACAAACAACCCCCGCGCGTTCCTTGGCGCCGCGGGGGAGGCGCTTCCACGATCCCAAAACTCCGCGGGAGCCTCCCGACTGCTCCCGGGCTGACTTTGGAAGGTTAGGGAGGAAAAAAAATGCTGATTCCTCGCCGAACTCCTCAAGGGGAAAAGCTGTTGGAGCAGCTCCCCTGCGCTCCCAAACCGCCTCGCTCGCGGTTCCCGGGTTCTCTCCGTCGCTGCTGGAGGAATCCGGGGCTCTGATCCCGCCTGGAGAATTCCCTAGGCAGATGCTCCTCACCCAGGGCGCTGCCCTGTGTCCCCTCTGGAGCAAAATTCCCTAACTGCCAGATTTCCCTCTCCCCCAGGCTCCTTTCTGTCTCCACCAGGGTCTTTTGCCCCCAGACTCCTTTCCCTCTTCTCCAGCTTTCCTTCCCTCCAGGCTCCTTTCCCTCTCCTCCAGGTTCCTTTTCCTCTCCTCCTTTCCCTCTCCTTCTCCTTCCCCTCTCCTCCAGGTTCCTTCCCCTCTCCTCCAGGATCCCTTCCCTCTCCTTTCTCTCTCCTCCAGGTTCCTTTCCCTCTCCTCCAGGTTCCTCCCCCTCTCCAGGATCCTTTCCCTCTCCTTTCCCTCTCCTCCAGGATCCTTTTCCTCTCCTCCAGGTTCCTTTCTCTCTCCTCCACATTCCTTTTCCTCTCCAGGGAAAGCTCTGGGGCAGCTGAACCCACGTGGCTTTCCCACAGACTACTGGGATTATCCTCATTTTTCAGTGGGGAAACTGAGGCACAGGAGTGTTCCAAGGTTTCATCCTGAACCCAAAAGCTCTTGATCCTTCACCTCCTGGAAGAGGAAAAGCTGTTGGAGCAGCTCCCCTGAGCTCCCAAACCGCCGTGCTCATGGGCGCTGGATTCTCTCCGTGGCTGCTGGAGGAATCCGGGGCTCTGATCCTGCCTGGAGAATTCCCTGCAATACTCTGTGGAGCAAAATTCCCCTAACTGCCAGTTTTCCCTCTCCCCCAGGGTCCTTTCCTTCTCCCTCAGGCTCCTTCCCCTCTCCAGTCTCCTTTCCCTCTCCCCCAGGTTCCTTTCCCTCTTCTCCAGCTTCCCTCTCCTCCAAGCTCCTTTCCTTCTCCTCCAGGTTCCTCTCCCTCTCCAGGCTCCTTTCCCTCTCCTTCTCCTTTCCCTCTCCTCCAGGTACCTTTCCCTCTTCTCCAGCTTCCCTCTCCTCCAGGCTCCTTTCCCTCTCCTCCAGGCTCCTTTCCTTCTCCTCCAGGCTCCTTTCTTTCTCCTCCAGGTTCCTTTTCCTCCAGGATCTTTTCCCTTTTCTCCAGGTTCTTTCCATTTCCCTCCAGGTTCCTGTCCCTCTCCACCAGGGTCCTTTGCCCCCAGACTCCTTTCCCTCTTCTCCAGCTTTCCCTTCTCCTCCAGGCTTCCTTCTTTCTCCTCCAGGCTCCTTTCCCTCTCCTCCAGGTTCCTTTCCATCTCCTGCTCCTTTCCTTCTCCTCCAGTCTCCTTCCCTTCTCCTCCAGGCTCCTTCCCTTCTCCTCCAAGCTCCTTTCCCTCTCCCCCAGGCTCCTTTCCCTTTTCTAGACCTCTTTTAGAACCACAGGGTGGGGAGAGACTGGGATGGAATTCCCAGAGAAGCTGTGGCTACCCCATCCCTGGAAGTGTCCCAAGGCCAGCTCAGAGCAACCTGGGCTAGTGGAAGGTGTCCCTGCCCCTGGCAGGGAGTTGCAACTGGATGACCTTCCAAAATCCCTTCCAACCCCAACCACTCCATGGTTCTATCCTGATCCAGGAGCCTGAAAAGCTTGGGAAGCAAACCCCAAACTCAGCTGGAAACCCTCCGTGAGGGAGAACCTTCCCACGACCCCCCGCGTCCCTCGGAACGTCCCTCGGAATGTCACACCGACCTTGTCCTTGGACACCTTGTGGGAAAAGGGGCAGGTCCCATCCGTCTTCTTGCACGTGCCACGGAGAAACCTGGAATTACAGCAGAGGGAGAGGGCTGACCACGAGGTGGGTCCCAAACCACGAGGTTTTAACACACAAACACTTGTCGTTAGGACCCCCTAAATTGGGGAAGGTTCCTCCTGTTGGAAGAGCAGCTGCTGATTCCCGATGGATTCGGTCCTTTCATCCTATTTGGCTGCTCCTTAGTTGGCAGAGCAAGGGCTGTACCTTAAAAATTCAGGGATGATGCTCCCAGAAGGAGAACAGGTCCTTCCAAGAGCCCTGATTCCTCCAGGATGGAATCACCATCCCTGGAGTGTCCCAGGGGGAGTTTGGATGAAGCTTGGAGCAACCTGGGCTAGTGGAAAGTGTCCCTGCCCATGGCAGGGGGTTGGAATTCCGTGATCTTGAAGGTCCCTTCCAACCCAACCCGTTCCATGACTCCATGATTCCGGATGAAGCACCGGGAGGAGCTCCAGGTGGGAGCGGCCAAAACCCTGGAGGAGCAGAGACAGGCACAGGACAGATCCCAAGATCCCAAAGGATGTTTGGAGCCGGAAGTTTTCCCAGGAGCTGCCACTGTGACAGGAGATTCACAAAATTAAGGGAAAAAATTCACAAATAAGGGAAAAAGCTAAAGATTGGGACTGGGGCTGAAGGCACCGGGAGGAGGAGACACAAGACCAGGAGAAAATCAGTGTTGTCCTCCAGTGATCCACAGAAACAGGGTGGGATGGAGATCCCAAAGACCTCATGGAGCAGCAATTCCTAAAGCAGGCAAGGAGCTGTGGGATGTGTTGTGGTTAAAAACCCCCATAAATCACCTTTCCCTCCCCCCTGATCTCCCACCGAGCCCGGGGCGGCTTCCAAGCGATCCCAGCCCAGCAGCAATTTTTATGGAGAAATTTACTCCGGGAGCTCATCGGCGGATTTGTCTTTCCTGCACTTTTTAAACGACTAATAATGGAGTTTAATCAACTCCTGGGCAGGTCTAACGAGCTGGCAACGGGAGTCCGTTCTCCTGGAATTAATCATCTGCTCTCGGAGCCGCGCGACGTCACCGGATGAGGGAATGGAAGCTGTTGTACGGATCTGAGCAGATCTGGGAAGTGCTGCCGCTGGAATCACCCGGTGTGCGGTCAGGGAAGGGTCTCAAGTCCCTCAGCTCAGAAGAAAAGGATCCAGGGAGAACTTGGAGCACCTTCCAGGGCCTAAAGAGGCTCCAGGAGAGCTGGAAAGGGACTGGGGACAAGGGATGGAGGCACAGGACACAGGGAATGGCTTCCCAGGGTTAGATGGGATATTGGAAAGGAATTCTTGGCTGTGAGAGTGGTGAGGGGCTGGGCTGGAACTCCCAGAGAAGCTGTGGCTGCCCCATCCCTGGGAGTGTCCAAGAGGAAGTTGGAGCAACCTGGGATAGTGGGAGGTGTCCCTGCCCATGGCAGGGGGTTTGGAATTCCATTACCCTCAGAATTCCCTTCCAACCCAAGCCACGGATGAACAAGGGCTTTATTTTCCCTGCTTTGCCAACACTTGGAAACAAATCATCAATTACTAAAGCAGGACAATTATTTCCAGGATTTTTGCTCCCAGGTGCTGGGATGGATTTCCTAGGGAAGCTCTGGCTGCCCCTGGATCCCTGGAAGAGTCCAAGGCCAGGTTGGAGCAACCTGGGATAGTGGGAGGTGTCCCTGCCCACCGCAGGGGGTCGGAACGGGATGACCTTCCAAA